TGTTGATGGGCGGTCATGAACCAGTCAATCGACCGACCCATCGGATCACGTGACAAGCAAGCAGGGAGATACGATTGGACGAACAAGGCAGGCGCCTTTTTCGGCCCTTGATTTACCATCACCCAGATTACACCACAACGCTGAGTGACGGTAAGAGAGAGGCCACTTTCGGCCCCCGACTCACCGTCTCCGTGATTACCGCAATAACCAAGGATACGGCCATCACGTGATCATGCAGGTAGTAGATGGGTAGAATGGTATACGGGTAGATCTTGCCAAGGCGCATCTACCAATCTACCATCTACCATTCTACCAAGGAAGAACTAAGGATATATATAGGACCTCATGTATCTAGTTTAGTTCTTCGTGTTCAATTCCAACATTGTTACTTGTGTCTACTATTCAGAAACCTTTGTGACTCGTACAACTTGATTATAACTTGACAACACCACGGGAAGGCCTATACCTCGGTATAGACTAACTCGGCGCTCTACTTGGCGTCGCTCCTCGATACCCTCGAAAGGACTTAGCCCGTATAAGGCCTGCTAGGCAACGGTACGGTTGAGAGACAGATCGTTGAGATTGGAAGTCAGCAAGACAAGGCAAGTATAACCCAGGGAATCTTCTAACATAGCGACGACCCGGAAGCAAGTGCGTAACATAGGGGCCTTATAAGTGTAATCCTTACTTTCAGCGGTGTTACCTCTTTGCTCTATATCGGTGTTTATTGCACCCGATCATATCTAATAGAGGCACGAGAATAGGGACGTAGGGGGAAGACACCGTTCCTAACGATAAAAAGGAAAAGTTCGACCAGCAATATAAGTAGTATTGTGCTAAGCGGAATATAAATATATAGCCGGGGTAGTAGAGTACCGGATAGTAGATACCGCCATATAGAATATATATAAGCTATAGCTAGGGCTTAGTGTAGTCGAAGGAATAGCTCGTAAAGGAAACGGCGAATAAAAGGGAAGGATAATAATAAAATCGCGGCTATAATCATAGAGCCCTAAGAAGGATTAGCGCTACTAATCTAATAGGGTAGGTTAAGCGAGAGCGATAATAAACAATTAATGCGAAGAGGTTAGGCTTCTCGCGAAGTATCTAGCTCTTCCGATCAGTTATCATTGCTATAATGATATATAAACTAAGAAGAATGCTAGTCATCTAACCTATAGCCCGATAAATGCGCTTACACGTTATCAAAGAAACACCCATAGCGTTTGTAAGGAATCCCAGATGGTGTGCTAGGAACAGGAAACTCATATTAATCACTAAAAGGGTTCCGGCGCGGTCTCTTGCCATTGTTGTTAACGGAGTCTTAAAGGCAACAAGAAACATATTTGTTATAGCGTACGCGAGATATGACAAGGCATCTGCTCGAGTGCAAGGAGCAATCAGCCTATAGCGACCCCACAAGTATGGATATGTTAAGTGTTTCGTAATGAGGAACGACAAAACTCTGAGTAGATTCAGAAAGGAGGGGGCTATGCGAATGAGAAAGAGCGTTGTCAGTAAGCACCCCACTGCAATGGCGTAAAAGATCGTGATTTCCATTGTCAGTCAGGACTTAGGTATCACATATTTTTCAACTATTGCAAGGAAACCACGGTGCTTTATACTCCCAGGATAGTAAACTTCACCAGTAGGATGACTAATATTTATGCCGAAAGCAACAACTCGTTCAGCGTTACCACGTTTAATTCTCATGCACCCATATCGCTGCTTGGAACCGTTGTTACTCTACTGTAAGGTGTATATTCCTCATGATATAGTCTATTGCAGGGCGGCTCATCTTCCTTTCCCTGCCCCAATTTGGCGGCTCTTCCCGGTCAAGCTTCGAGCTTCTTCCTGCTTTATTCATGAAGCTCACAATGATATTGTGGACTACTGTGGTAAAATAGCCTGCACTCAACGTGGCACAATCTCTGATAGACCTTCTCAGATACTAAAGTGAAGTTACTGTCAGGCCTTCTTGGATAGCCCGCATGATAGCAAGCCTCATTCAGCCTAGCGGCACTCTGGACGACATTGAGAGCGACACTAACAGTTGGCAGTTCACGTGACAACAATCCATCGTGGGTGGCTAGTTTCCTCCAAATATATACAACTGAGTTATAGCAAATTTTCACATTCAAATATCAAAGCGATCAAGATAACCCTATGCAAACCCTTCGTTGCAGTATTCAAGCTAAAATATTTGCCTCGCTTGGTTGCCTCACAATGCCTTCTCCAGCCTTCTCCAGGTCTTCATCTGTAATTAAAAATGGGGTCGGATAATAAGAGTGCTGAAAAATTTAGCCTTCAGTCATATGACTCGTGTCTGGCTGCATACTAGATGTGACCCAAGAAATCCCCAAAATCCCGAGATATCCGCCGACAGGATAAACACTTGGCCCGTTTCCCGAAGGCGAATCCCGACACAGACGTCTGCTTCACACATCTTACTATATTCGCGTGCCTTTTTCATCAAATTGGATTTGCGACGACCCTGTTTTTGACGAATGGATTTTCTTTTAGAAGAAGGGCCATTTGAAGGAGGAGGGACTGTAGTCGCCATCTGCCAGTTTGTAGCCTGAAATATGCATCGGGACTGTAAAATTGGACTTGCTGAAAAGTAGAGTTGAAGTGGGTGCTCTTATAGTTGTAGCCTCGTTTGCCAGGGAGTAGCTTTCAAAAAGAGCGTCAAACGTCATGAAAGCGCAAAAAGCGCAAAAGCGCAATAGTGCAATGGCGATTTTTGAACACGCAGCAGGCCACGGTTTTTTGAGCCAAAAGCGTGGCTAAAAACTAGACAGAAAGCTACTGTGTTGTTTCAGATCGTGAGTGAACAACTGAAACGGCGCACCTAGCTGGTAATGCGTGGGAATTCATCAGGTCACGGCATGGGAGCGGCAACTTAATGCCACGGCCATTTCAATGTTGTGCTGCGCCGAAACTAGACGTGTAGTCGTTGACCTAACCATCGTGCCATAGGTATTGATCCATAACGTCTTGAAAACTCAGAAATTCAATCAAAAATTGGACGGCCGTTCTGCCAAAAGTGAGTGAGCCGGTCGAATAGAACACAAAAATGTAGTGCTTAATTGGCGTACCAATTTACCTATATAAGATCTGTTGAAATGGTAACCGAGGTGCATTGATTAATTGCACAACAAAAAGACCTGGAATTTTGAAAGCGCATTAATGTAACAGGTCGAAATAGCAAGGGACCTAGGATTTTGGCACAGTAATCTCAGCTATCTTTAAAATTGGTGAGCTTTAAATTTACCAAGGTACAATATTAGCCCTGTTATAATTATTCATAATGCTAAAATTATGGTGGCAATAATATTGGCGAGCTTTAAATTTACAAAGATACAATATTAGCCCTATCATAATTATTCATGAGGCTAAAATTAATCTAGGTAAAAATTATGGAGGCAATAATATTTTAGTCGTTCGGTGTTAGCTGGAGATAAGGAAGCGCTAAGTAAGGATCCAAGATGTGGGTTCTCTAGTCAAGAGCTTCTCCAAGGTGGAGCAAGAAGTAGTGCTGCAGAATAATGAGGATAGAATAATTAATAGCGTGCTAAGAGTTGTCAACGAATGTGAGAAGGCCAATCAATCCTAGTAAAGCATGAAGGTCAACGGGCAAGAGAAGATTTACAGCCGATGATTAAACAATTGATTGTCTCGGAAATCCGACTACAAAATCGTTGAAAAGAATAGTGAGAGCTGATTTGCGAAGCCCCACGTTACTTCATGGTATTCTTTAGAAGACAGATCAGAGTGAACTATTAGCAAATAATTTCTGGCCTCTAAATGGAACTCAAGAATGCTTGATATCGAGTGTGGGGCAAATGGAATGTCGTACGTATTGTGCAGCCATCCCCATGAAACCGATCCCAGACAGACCACCAGAAGCACCAGACTCTCTACGCTCTTAGGGGCGCGAGATACAGAGAAGAACTTCCGAGATATTGCCCACTCGGCGACCGCCGCATTGCAGTGTTTGCATAGAACCTCTCGAAGGGCGAAAAGTCTAGAGTAAAGAACTGTAATATTCCATACTGGTAATTTAAGCTACTGGTAATTCTTACCTGGTCAGCTACAGAACGTATTAATTACAACTATTCATATCTGGATTAGCGTATCACATGACTAGGGTTTGAATAAGTCTCTCTGTGTTTATTATATGGAAGGCGGTGGCGGTCGTTACTGTAGTAGAGTGAGGAAACGGGTGCCCTTCAAAAATGTCATAGCAGAAATTGGGTGGATTGGTGGATCCTGAACATGTGTTGACCATTGCACCCTCGATAAACGTTGAGTAAAAGTTCTTGATGGCATTTAGTTCTCACGGTCCTTATCCCTTATGCGCAAGTGAAGGAAGCTCTTGGTGAGTGTTTTACTCTATATTTTTAATCTTGTCTCATGTATTTAATTGATCACCTCCTTCGCAGAAAAGAGAGGATGGTGTTTATTATATGTTATTGGCTTATTTGTCTCCACTTGTTTTGATGTCCGTGCATCCCCTGATACTTTGTTAACCCCCATGTCTACCAGCGAGAATTTTCTCACCCCGTTCCTACGAGTTGCACCCCTCCTTGCCTTATTTTCCTGGCAAAAAAAAAAAAAAACTGAGCCACTCGGCAGAGAACGGACCAGCCAAGGTGCAAGATTCCCGCAGACTCGAGAGTTCTATAACTGCTCGGCGCATCTTTATGCGCGCCAAGCACTGCTGCGCTTTTCGCTTTTCATCACATTAAAAAATCAAGTCTCTTTTGATGCGTATTACAATCGATCCTGTGTTTTCTTTTTCTTCTTCTTTCCTTGCATTACCATCTTGCAGTTTGGGACTAGCGTCACTCTGAAGCTAAACTAACCGAATTGAGAATATACACAAAATGCATGCAACAGAAAGAAAGAGTTGACGATCAAATATAGCAAGTAATAATGTTGACGGTAACATTGCCGCCTCGGGAAGTGATCGGCTCCCGGATTCCAGGGTGAGTTAGTCACCCCGCCGCCCTAAGCTGCCCACTGAGCGACGCGCGCCTCACCCGGTGGACATCATGATCGACTGTGTTGAACAATGACCATCCCATCGGACTAGTCTTGAAGGAATGGAAAAACCACTCATCACGATTGCGCTTGCGGCGTCCGCTGGCGTAGATGTCGTCAAGATACTCCGGGTCTCGGATGTGGATGTGGAGTGGATTGATTCGTACGATTGGTCCGTACTGATTGTGCAGGTCCTCGATTTTCCAGAGGAAACGCAGCTTGTGAGGAAATAGATCGTAGTAGAACTCGTACCAGAAGGTCGCGCCTGCAAGTTTCGGGCCAGGAAATTTCGCGAGCGGATGTAGAGTGACGCGGTATATGTAGACCGAAATCCAATACGCGATAAAAGCTGTCGTTCCGAATGCCAGTAGGTGTGACAAGCTGGCACGTTGCAGCAGTGTCAAAAGGCCCATCGTGGCTTCAATCTTTCGTGTTCAATGGGTGCTGAGAGAGGTGAGTTGGGCAACTTGGGCTGGTACCAAACACAAACACGACGGCCCTTTTGTTCATGCATTATGTCAGTAATTTGATCACCGTCAATTAGCAGAGATCAAAAAGTAATTCAGCATGTTCCTTTTAGGTGAGTCCATAATAGGAAACATCCGAAGAATACGTGTTCTGCTGATCGGACAGCCCGGAAATGCCCCCGGGGCCGCCAAGAGAGATCGACAGACGGGGAGATCAGTCTACCGGCATGACTCGTTCCTGGGGTTGCAGGGTCTAGAGAATTAGCTTCTCGTGTTCGGCTGGAAAGTAGTCACTCGGGATTTGACTGGCTTTGAACTTAAGACAACAAACTTAATATTAGAAGATTGCCCGAGAATGTACTTGAACAATTGAGGCATGGAATGTGGCACGTGACCTGCTGGCCCCGGGCCCGCACGTGCGGGGTTGCTTTGTGATTATATAAGAGATAGATGGATCACGTGTTTGCGGTGCGCGTATCACGTGGCTCTCCATTTCTCGCTTGGGTAGTGATACCGGGGCGACCAACCGGTATCAGTACCCGTCCCAGGTACCGGACAGACTGCCTTGTACATGTGTGCAGTACCCCTTACTAGTCCGGCCCACCTGGGTGCTCCAGGGCTCCAGGGCTAGTCCTCGTCTGGAATCACAATTCTCGCCTCTGTTCCTGTTCCTCCTTACCTTTGGAAAGCTTTCTACCTCGCACAAATTCTGGCAGACACCATTGTCTGACTTTCCCGGTCACTGAACTCCATGTTTTTCGTGAATTTCGGAACTTGAAAAGCAATTATTCTACGATTCCTACTCACTAATGCGGATAACAATCCGAGCTTTTTGGTATTACTGTTCTCAACCTCGAACGTCGCGCGCGCAGCCAAAATGTCCATTGCAGTCCTGCCCGTCGAATTGATCTCAAAAATATGTAACCATTTGGATTACCAGCAATTGGTCGCTCTGAGGTTATCATGTCGCGCATTGTACCAAAACTCACTGGAGAATTTTGGGAAGACCTATTTCCGAAAAATTCGTTTCATTGTGACAAGTGAAGGTCTCCACGAACTGGAAGCACTATCCAAGTCAAATGGTCTCCGCGAGCACGTTCAAGAGCTATGGATGATTCCTGTGGTGTTCGATGGCGCTGAAGGGTCCCTCGGCATGATATCTATATCGTCAAAAAGCTGCCGGCAGGTCAAAGGCGACGAGCTGGAAAGCCGGCGTGCTGTCCAAAAAGACATGCTTGCGGACAATCGCAACCTGCTGGAATCAGAAACGTTCAGTCTTCGACTTCGGGAATGTATGGATCGATTCAAGAACATCCAAACAATCGGACTCGCACATTACAGAACGGAATTTTTGCTTGACCCCCGACAGCAGACAGTTCCATTCCTCGGAAGGCGACAGATGATGAGCCGCATCGACTTTCGATTCGATGTTTACAGCCTGCAAGAGTCTACGCGCACCCACCAGGATAGTCAGATACGGAAACTGAACTCCTTGGCGTTATCAAAGCTTTTTCTTGCGTTATGTGGCTCAAGCTGCAGACCCCGAAAGCTATCCACTTGCGATTCTAAATTCTGCTGTGATATCGGCCCCAGGATTGCCCTCTCCGAAGAGCAATTTGATTCTCTACTGTCTACTTTAGAAGACCTCGAGGATCTTCATTTATGCATCGATCTCGATGAGGCGGCTTGGCTGAAGCTTTTCAGGAAGATTGCACCTCAACTGGAAGTACTGACCCTGTCGCAACATCATATGCCTTTTGATCTTGTTCAAGATGACATGCATGCCTATCCGGCTAAAAGCTACGTTGGAAACATGTTCCATGACATTAGCTTCACTCGACTCCGAAACCTTCATATAAAGAAGCTTGATATCGATTTCAGCTCTTTGAGATCACTTTTGCTCAGTGTCAAGAAAGGTCTGGTCACTCTTACAGTCAAACGGGTTAGAATGCGCAGCGAGGAGTCAGGAGCCACAGAAAATCCTCGATCACAAGATGCTGAGTCCCCTGACCGCCAGGAAAATGAAAGATCTGTCCGATATACATCGCCATTATATCAACCCACAGTGCCATCCCACCAACCAACCTCGCCATACGATGAACCTACAGTGCCACCATACCAACCAACCTCGCCATACAATGAACCTACAGTGCCACCATACCAACCAACCTCGCCATACAATGAACCTACCGTGCCACCATACCAACCAACTTCGCCATACGATGGACCTACCGTGCCACCATACCAACCAACTTCGCCATACGATGGACCTTCAGTCCGATTATATCAACCAAACTTGCAATCATATGGACCTACAGTCCCATCATTTCAACCAACACCGCCATCATTTTCAACATCTTCACCGTACAGACCGACTGTATCCCCACAAGAATATGGACCAGCCCCTCTATCAGTCCTACCAGCATCAGAAACAGCATCAGCCGAAAGTGCACCCCAATCACCCCAGCATTTCTCGGCTTCCGATTCCTCTGAGGCGTCGACAGAAGAATATTGGAGCAGAAAGTGGATGTCTACATATCACCCATATGAGCCATCCGAAACAGCTGGAGGTTTTGTCTGTCCCACCCGGGAAACCGTAATGGCATGGAAACGCAACGAAGAAAAGATCACTTCTGTGCCCAGCTTTTTGAAATTTTTACGGAACGAGTTATCTCTAGAAACACTCTCCCTGGAAGATATTATCTGTGACGACAATTATTACGATTTCGAAAGAATCGACAGTGCAGATAAACAAAGGGGCAAAGTGGATTTTGACATTCACAAAGCCAATATTTCGTTGAAGGATTGGATTTCCCGGTTAAGGCCAATTGCTAGCTGCCCGGCCGATCGCATTATTAAGCGCAAGGAAGACAAAGGTTAGTGGTACCTCCCAATTTACACTCTGTAGTTACTGATGGAAGCTAGAAATGGCGGATTGGTTCGACGAGATGATAGGGAAGGACAGCGGCTCATCTACTAGATTAGACTGTGACTGCAAAAGGAACAAGAAGCCGCCCTGGGGATGTCCTTTTGGATGTCATCGATATTAGGAAAATGTCAGCTTGAATTTATCTCAATTATTCGCAGAATTATTGAGCTCTATCATTATATACTAAGAAAAAAGGTTCCAAGTTTACTATCAAGATACGTGAAAGGGACATCAGTCACATGAAACGTTTCCAACCTTGGAACAACTGGAACACTTCGCTTGCTCGTTAGAATGAATAGGCACAGAGATGAATATGCTCTAAGATCAAAACTGGGCCCCGGGGATACCAAATGAGCAGAGATCCTCACAAACGAAGAGGCCCGATGAAGACTTGCTTGCACACGGTGAGTCGGGAAGAGTCCGGGGTTTAGGGCGTTTTTGCTGCCTGATCAGGGTCTTCACACCTCCCGCTACGGAAGTTGCACATCTCCAAATATACACCTAGCCGTCGGTGGTTAGTTCAATGTAGCGCCTGTCGTCTTAGGGAGCCATAAGGATTTCTGCAACTTACCATTGATCCAATATGTGAAAGTATCTGGAGATAATTAGCACGATTCACTAGTCAATATTTCAGAAAAAGAAACTGTACCAGCATTTATGACAGCCAGTGACTGGGTAGCATCAGTTTGAGCGTTGTCTTTTATAGCAAGTGCAACGATCTCTCCCCAGCCATACGCTATATCCGCTAAAGCAATTTAAAGAACCATTCATTAGCAGACCGATATGTTGGAAGTCGTATCGTGGAGTACTTACTTGCACGATAAGCACCAAATTGGGTATGCCCGTGGGTGAACTCATGCGCGAGGAGTCGCTCCGGTGTGTTGTGTATCATATGATAAAGAAAATCACCGTTTTGCACAACTGCTGCTTTCTTTGCAGGTTGAAACCAGACTTTCGTCTGAAATTGCAACACAGACCACACCCCAGCACAAAATGCCATCCAACTAGGTTGACCCGGAGTGTGAGCGGCTGTTAACGTCACTGCTTCCGCTTGTCCACCGCCGTATCCAGCCGCAAAACCGTTTGGAATCGTACAAAGAGACGTGCTGTTTTTCTGACTGCGAGGACCAGCTGGTAGGGCATTGATCATCCAATATTCTACACATATTAAAGGTCAGATATGGTTCCATGATGATCAACGTTCGAATGAAGGGATATTTCTGGATAATACGCACCTTTTTTGATATGAGAAGGGACGTTAGGGTCGAGGACCCATTCGCTCTCGTCGCAAATGAAATTCCAGATGGCCGTGTTTTGGATCAGACCACTCGCAAAAATAGCAGCCATTTCTAGAATATTTATTTCGTAAGGTTGGAGGCAGTGGCATTTTGTGCTGAATGGGTATTTGTAACCTACGATTCACTCGTATAGCGCGGTCTCTGACTCTTGTCTTTGCAGCGACATCATTCCACTTGAAGGTCCCATAAAGAACCATGAAGAGATCTATCATCCGTCTTTGCTGAGGATGCAGGGTTGGATTGTTGTTGTTCATGTTGTTGTTGATCATGTCGAGTGTCATTTGAGTAGCCAGCGCGCCGTAATTGGCCTGCCTCATGATCGGTATTAGAAAAATGTAAATCCCACCTCTGAGCTCATCCCGGTGCTCATGCCCCGAGAATTCTGGACAAATTCACTTACCACAGCTTTTAGTTGATTAATAGTGGCATCCCAGTCACCTAAACTCCAATGGTTCAAGCAGCTCGTGTGCACTCGAATTCTACCAGAATTTGGCAGGGCCGTAAATTCAGCATCAGTGGCTCTTGTAAAGACATGATGGAGGTCATCCTCCGAGCCTAGTGGGAAAATAGAGTGATTGCTGTAAGGGTGAGCTTGCGCAATCAACACAATTTGCGTCAAGAGCATAAGCTGGGCAAGTAGGGTTCTGAAAGCCCCTACAGGGCGAGCAAAACCCATCATTTGAGTCAAACGAAGGTGTAATGTGCAGAAGCAAAAGATATTTGGAAATGAGTGTATGATGTTGGGACTGGAAAGTACTGGAGGATGGCACTGTCATATGTACAAAATACTCAGGTACGGGATAGACCAGAAACCATGATAATTTTTCCAATAGGGCTATTACCAACTCACTCTAATACCAACACGATGTGGTACAGTAGAAATTCTCAAACTTGTCAAAGTAGCGTTCCAGTGAAATCTACTTTGAGTACTAATTTAATCGCGCAACATACTAGTCCCTATACAACTCCCACCGGGAGTGGGCCCATGGTTTATAGATACGCCTAGCGTATATGTAAGCGAAGGGCCACAAATGTGGAGTAAAAGGACCTTTAGACCCTTTAAGTGTGGTATACAAAACGTTTGATTGGACGAGTACGTCTTCATTGTTGCCCCTTATCTAGTGGAACCTATAGTCGATCTGGAATGGAATGTGGCCCGGAGGTTTTCCGGCTCCTCGGATATCGGATACAGTACTGTATAGCATATGAAAGTCAACAACGCCAGCCAAAATCAACAACGCCAGCCAAAACCTCGGAGGTGGTGCTAAAAGGGAACCTGGTACCGAGGACAGAAAATTGGCTAACTACCATTCCCTTCTCCACTTCGCAGTATGGGTATATTCATTTCGTACAAGCTTTAGCTCCTGCAGTGGCGCCGCAAATGTTTGAGGCAATCAAATTTACCGCCTTCTTCTCGTCCTTTCCTAATTCAGATTAGTCCAGCTTCAAATATTTGGATATTTCAATTAAAACTGCAGAGGAGGCATGGTAGTAGCTTGATCTGAGTATTTTGAAAAGCCTTTCGGAGAGCATGCTATGGAGAGTATAGGCTATTATTGCGTTAAATGGATGGTATATCGAACGTTAGGAAGTCAGGGATATTTTGAACCGGCAGATTAAGTGGCAGAAATTAGGCGCCGAATGTACTCAGGCCTGTGCGGCCACTGTACTCCGTAGGGTCTCCGCTAGAAAAATTTTCGACTGTTCGTCCGGATAGCTCCACTCCTTCCCGAGCGGATCTGTCTGGACCGGAAAATCTACAACCCTCGTGCTAGCCTGTGTGGAGTATCTCCGTATACTGTACTATACTAGTAAGAAGTAATACGACTGAACATACGACTAAAATGAAGGCATCTTTACCCGGATATACCGCACTTGGATATAGTGTAATTAGGTCCTGGGGGCGTTATCCGCTATAGAATGGTTCATTTGCGCTCCGGCTAATGAACACGACTTGTGTTACTGCCCAGGTGCAGGCTAAAGGCCTCCAAAAAACCATACCTCTTTGCATGGTAAGGTTGCTTATCGGATCAGATGATCGAGTAGCCAGTGACACAACTTTTTAGTGCCGTCGACAGTATGCCCACTACAATGGTGGGAGGTCAAATGCTTAGGTTACACCATATATACCTTTCGGATAGATTGGGGGCCAGATATGTAACCATGGATGCACATGGTAGTACTTATCTAGTGGAACTGAAGCGGGACTGTTATTATCCTAAAACCTGACTTGGATGTACGAGTATGCACGATCCACTTCCCACATTTTTACTTGAAAGTTGTGCCCCGGGGCTCTAGCTGGTCTTCGAAGCGAGTTGCAGAGACATAAGACAGGGGAGGAACGAGGAAAACCCGATAGTGCATTTTACTACTTTTATCCATTAATATGGGCTAAACTATCCACTCAAAATTGGGCTAATATGATGTGGAAATTGACCTCCAGTTGCCCAAGATTTTTATGTCCTTGCAATCTTCCTTCCGCACCGTTCCACCGTCTTACCTCCATGGCTTCTATCCGTTCGATTTTACTTGTGATTGCCCTGGCTCTCCAAGGCAGTGAGGCACTGCCTGATTGTCAAGGCTACATCCACAGTGGTACAATCGCTTATTTCAACAGCGCTCCCATCACCTTTAGCTATGAGCTTGCAACAGCCTTGGATTGCCAAAGATGGTGTGAGAAGGTATCAACATGCCAAGCATGGCTCTATGTTGACCAGTCAAATCAATGTGACCTGCATCGTACGAAGGCGTTGAGCGTTTCGGATAATGCAGGATTCATCTTTGGCGGGTGCACGCCTAGAGCGGCCAATGAATCTCCAACAACTTCTACTCCTAGCTCTTCGTTGCACTCCGCTGTTATCAGTACTGCAAGAACATCAGAGATTGCTTACTCGGTTCGTTCTCATTCTTTTCAAGCATGTTGCTCTGGACCTACGGCTAACGTGATTCTGCTCTCGAAGGCTCATGCTAGACGCGAAATCCTCCGTCATAAGCAGAAGGGTCACCACCAAAAGCTTTAATTTGGTGGAAACATATCCGTTCTTTGGGTGGTTTAGGTCACTGCGAGGGAATTGTACTGGGTGTCGGCAGGACTTCGGGTTGTTCGTGTATGGAATAGTTATCATGTGTTATTTTGAATAAGAGGTGCCCAATAAAAGGAAAGAGCTTCGGTACCAAGGAAAACCTTCAGACGGAGATACAGCAAACATAGTATTAGAGAATTCTAATTGCGCTTCGAGAATCGCTAGCGCTCTTTCGCTGGGTTGTATCCAAGATTGGTTCCGCTTGCGGTCCTCGATCTTTTTCACCTGTTTCAAAAAACTAACTAGCCTATACTTTTTTAGCTTGCTACTTAGGTTCACAGATTGACTTAGTTTTTTTTTTTAAAAAAAAAAAAAATTTATAGCTTTCCAACGCTAGCTCAGAGCGCGTTTCCTGCTTGAGTACGCGACGTTGTATCGAGAGTTGCCGCGATGGCACTTTTTGAACTGTCTACCGAGCTAAGATTTAGGGCGTTATCTCTAGCGCGGCTTGGCATGCCAGCCAGACGCTCGGCGCTTTCGGCATTCAACTTGAAATGCATCTCTCTCACTAATACCGCTAGTGTAGTGGGCCAATACAATACTTTAGATGCAAGCTAGTAACGAGTACCTAGTAGGAGGCAAGCTCACCGGTTATCACCGAAATTTGCCTCTAAATTTGATAATAGAATCCACCTTTCATGAAATTATCTATCGCGAAAGAAAATATAAAAAATACCTCACCCAGCCGAGGCACCCGCTATGCAAGTTAGAAAAGGAGCTCGAGATCTCTATATTCAAGAGAACAACAACCGGCATTGAGGTACTGGGGGCAAGACCTTAGCACCCAGTGTTCAACATATCAACACCAGCCATGCGATTGTTCGTGGCTTGGGTTACAGCCCTCCTGCTCGCCTGCCGAGTGCAGGCAGCGGCTGTCTTTGCTCATTTTATGGTATTTTCCGACTTGTCGCCGAAGATGACTTCCAATTGCTGACAGCACAACCAGCTCACGAACTCGGCCAATTATACATCCAGTGATTGGGAAAATGACATGAAGTTAGCACAAGATGCGCACATTGATGCTTTTGCCTTGAATATGGCTTATAATGATCCAACAAACATGAAATCTCTTTCTGCTGCCTTTGCGACGGCTGATTCTATCGGCTTCAAACTTTTCTTCTCGTTTGATTATGCTGGCAATGGAGACTGGCCGAAAAACGATGTTATCGCCTTGATCCAGGAATACAGCGCCCATTCATCGTACTTTTTCTACAAGGGAAAGGCCTTTGTTTCCACATTCGAGGGACCAGGTCGCGCCGATGACTGGCCTTTGATCAAACTTGCTACGAACTGTTTTTTCATTCCGAGCTGGTCCTCTCTTGGAGCTAAGCCCGCTGTGGAGACAGGTGTTGTGGATGGTCTCTTCAGCTGGGCTGGCTGGCCTTGGGGCGATGAAGACATGAACACCTATATCGATGCATCCTATATTCAGTACCTGGAAGGCATGCCATACATGATGCCGGTCTCACCTTGGTTCTTTACCAACTTGCCGGGGTACAAGAAAAACTGGATATGGCGAGGCGATCACCTTTGGCATGACCGCTGGCAGGAGGTCCTTTATGTGCAGCCCGAATTTGTTGAAATTATCTCATGGAACGATTATGGAGAGTCCCACTACATCGGACCCTTGGTTGACAAAGCGATGGAAGCATTTGAGATTGGCCAGGCCCCGTACAACTACGTCACTGATATGCCTCACGATGGTTGGAGAAACACTCTACCCTACTGGATTGATATGTACAAAAAGGGGTCGGCAGAGGTGACCCAGGAGAGCATCATTGCCTGGTATCGAATGGCTCCTGCAGCGGCTTGCAGCAGTGGAGGCACCAGTGGTAACACTGCCGGTCAGTTGCAAATCGAATTCCCTCCGGCAGAAATGGTTCAAGATCGAATTTTCTTCTCCGCTGTTCTGGGCTCTTTCTCTGGAGCCGTGGTCTCGATTGGAGGGGTTGCCGAGACAGTCGGCTGGTCATCTGTCCCAGACGATGATGTTGGTGTTTACCATGGCAGTGTCGCCTTTGATGGTCGCACTGGACCAGTCACAGTGTCTTTGAGGCGAGGTTCCACTGTGATCGCCACTATTGAGGGCAAAGCCATCTCTGGAAGTTGCACAAATGGCATACAGAACTGGAATGCCTGGGTAGGTAGTGCGACGACAGAGAGCACAGTGTCTGCCAAAACAGAGATCGAGCTTTCTGACCAAAAGTGTATGAACGGGACCGGCGCTAACAACTTTGCGGGTCTCTGTGAGTTCGCATGCACATACAACTACTGTCCTCTCGGAGCTTGCACCTGCACAAAAATGGGACTCGGCTATGAAAAGCCGAACTCGACCGGTGTGGTAGGATATCCGATCGCAGGAGAAGGTGCGAGCTACAGCGGACTTTGTAACTTTGATTGCAATCTCGGATTATGTCCTCCCTCGGCATGTGGTACCGTTGAGGTCCCCCTGTCAACGCCCTCCGTCTCGCCATTCTTACCTCCGGCGTGCACTTCAGGCACTGGCGTGGGCAACCTCGGTGGCCTTTGTGACTTCGCCTGTAACCATGGCTTCTGTCCAATCAACGCCTGCACGTGTACAGGGCAGGGAGCTGTGAATGTCATGAACCCCACGACCGATGTCACTGGCGCGGCTGCCCCCGAGCAAGACTCAGCCGTCTATGGTCCTTTGTGTGAATACACCTGTCAGCGCGGGTACTGTCCCGAAGGCGCCTGTGTAGCGCAATCTGGGAGCTCCACTGGATCGGGTTCTGGCTCGAGTTCTGGCTCTGGTTCTGATGGTGATAGTGGCGATCTTCACGTCGACGCGTCTGTTGCCGATTCAAAGTCAGGCTCTAACATTGTCACTGGCGTGGGTCCGGTTAATATCATTGTTGCTCCCTCGACCTTGGATTCCGAGACTATATTCTTTATCGGATCCTTGGTGACTCCAATCGAGGTGGCCTGGCCTACGATTCAGACTGTGACTGTTTCTGGGCAGACTACCGTCACTACTACAGTGACCCGCACTGTGCAGACGACAACCTTTGCTATACCTGAGATCAGGACGAACAAAATCCCATGGTGGAATTGGAACATCACCGCAACTAACGTCAAAAGTACTTCCACAACACTGTTCCCTAGTTTTGCACTGGACCCAATCGTGTTCACCGATAAACCAGACTTCCCAGGTATCACACACACCGGGACAGCCAACCGTACTTTGTATCCACCTCCCTGGCCTTGGTCCACTTCTCCTTTGCCTGTGGCAGTTCCGACCCCTACCATCAAATTCACTCAAGGTGGTCCCCCAGGCCCTACCTGTACATCTGGCTGTGGAACGAAGTGTACCTCCTTCTGCCATACACCGTGCTTGCTTGACTGTGATGACCCCAAGGCCCATGAAAGCTGGAAGGACCCAGCGGATCCTGATCCTCCTGCTAGTCATTCCGGCTGTACTGGCCCTGAGTGTCACAATGGAGAGTGCACTGGCTCCAAATGTCAGAAAAAGGGATGCACAGGCTCCGGATGTGACAACGGCACCTGTCTCGATGATTCATGCAAGTATTCTGGTTGCATTGGCAGTGACTGTGGCAAAGGTGGATCCTGTGACGGTCCTGATTGTAAGAGAGTAGGGTGCGAGGGCCCTGACTGCAACAACTCAGGTGGCTGCTTTGGACTCGATTGTATTTCTGTCGGATGCATCGGCATTGATTGTGACATCAGCACAGGCGAATGCACCGGGTCAAAGTGTCATAGGGTCTCGTGCACTGGTCCCAATTGTCAAGATGGAATTTGCACGGGCCCAGGCTGTGAATCAGAAGACGACGACTGCGAGGCTAGAGAGGCTGATGTTTGCACTGAAACTGTCTACTCTACTATTGTCACGCCCGCCTCAACATATACAACCGAGACCTCTACCAGCTGTGAGACCATTACTGCTTGCAGTGCTGAGGCTTCAACCACCACCACGACGATTGACGAAGAATCAATCACTGCTTGGGTCGATTATTACAACCCTGATGACACTTTTGACACCTCGGCCGCTCGTGCTTTATCGTCTTCCATCGAAGCTATGTTTTCTTCTATCTACGCTACTACAACCACAACCACAACCACTTCCAAGCCCGCTCCAACGTCTACTAAGCCCACCTCTATCCCGATTGGAGGTGATTGTGACTCTGGCGGCCAGTGCAAGGGCGACTGCGCCAAAGGCAAGGTCCTTCAATGCGCCGATTATGGCGGCGGCGCAAAGTGCACTTGCGTCACTGACCAAAATGTCCCGCCTTATGGGACAATGTGCCAGAGCCTCAAGGATTGCACAGATAATTACTACTGTGCGCTTGGGGACAATATGGTGTGCGAGGAGCGGGACTATTCTCACGGCGCACCGCTCTGTCTTTGTATCAAAGGCAATGGCAGCTGATAGATTCAACGCCGTATGGCATCGTGTCATGGTGCAGAGTGTTTGATATATACCCAATAGTACCAGATGGTCATGGCGACGGGGATAGCGGCAGAGGGAGAACCGTTGGCCAATAGTAATCGATACACAGAGCGAAGGGACCTGTAGACGATTGACGGATCACTGAGGACTTGGTGTCGATTATTGTAATATTCAGCGCCCTTCTAGTACAATGTGCACTTGAATTTACTTCTGAATGATAGCGACACCGCCTCACTGCGCTGGGCGCTTGAAGCGTCCGGACTTTCGATCCTTAATATCACTGTCCCTGCCGTTGTCCTCCTAGACCATCCCAACCTTTCCTTTCAATGCAGCCACGTCTTCCCTCATCGCTTCGACAATCGCCATGATATGTGCCACCTCTCGGTGCATTTCGTTGTTCCACAGATTCTGGTTCAGGAGGGAGTCCTCAACAGACCTAACGCGTATCAGTATGTGATTACTGCCATGTTTTTCAAATGTATATACTTACTGCACTCGCACATCTAATCTGGAAGAAAAGTACTTTAGTAGGCAGACCGAGGAGGATTCCTGATATGGTTTGGGACACTTACTCCGCCATACACTCGATAATAGTCGATGTCGAGTCTCTAGGGTACCCAGGGTCCTGAGGCTTCACATGTCTTTGGTCATGCTCCATGGCACTTCTAGTTTCGACAACGCGTTGCCCATGGGTATCCTCTTCGTCACTGCATTCATCCATTGAACCAGTACTACCTTCGTCATCTGACGGTACGTCGACAGAGCCAGCGATTGATCTTCGTGGACTGTAGATATTGCTTGGCTCAGGCGAGCCCGATGAAAACATTTCAGACATTCGTTCTGAGTATCTCTGCGAGATGCTATTAGGCAGAGCTCTTTGGACACCCATTGTTATTGTGTTGGTGGTAGGTGGTAGACCAAGGAGAAAAGGGTTGGAAGTTTGAGGACCAAGAATGAAGGGTAACTTCTCTCCTCAGCGAGGGGATCTGCTCCTTTTAAAGGTCTAATTAAAAAAATGCCGAGAAGGTTATTGTCATTGATACCGCCCATGGTCCCTATAGAAGGATAGATTAGACGGATACATCCCTGTCCACTAAGAGAGTTGTACCTGAGTCTCCGAGTGGGCATCCAGCGACTTCGGAATGAACATGGAGCTTGGAGTTGGTCAGTTAGAAAACATGGAAATAAATAAAACAAAAATGGAAAAATAAAATAAAATAAACAGAGTGGAAGAGGGGACGTTGCGGCGCAGTACCATAAAAAAAAATTAATTTATCGTCGAGTAGAGCCTACTCTTTCCCTAAGTGCACCAAAAGCCCCATTGAACCGATTGTGTAATAGCAAGCAAAGATCTGCTCGTGGAGTCACAACGTTGATTATCTTAGGATTTGGCAAATTTGGTATCTTACAGTAGAATAGACCAAATATCATAGACCAGCCGATGAGGGGTGAAAACATGATGGTCAAATAACAAAAGACTTACGGCTGGTGATTAAAAGATTAGTTGACTCAGGAATTCGAGTACATATGTACGGGAGATGAATTAACTCTTCTTCTGAATTTGAGATATGCCAATTGTGAAATTGAATAAACACAAAAAAAGAATCTACTTTCTTTTGAAAAAAAAAAAAAAAAAGGTTGCTCTGAAGTTGAACAGTTCTTCCCATGTTTACACATAGGTTACATGTCTAGTTGTCGAAAACGAAATTCTAATATGTATAACTAGGCCTCAGCTTGATGCGTTACTATAATATTATTGATCTTCTATGATATTATTGACCAGCTCCTCGGCCTTTGGGGGGACCAACCGCTTTTTGGTGCGGCAGGCATCAATTTGGCCGTGGCATTAAACTCACCAGGGACAGTTTCAGGTCTTCGTGGGCCATGACTCTGAAGACCACGGTTTCTGGAGAGTGACACGGGTTTTCAACGCTTCAACACTGTAGCCATTCAAAGGTTTTCAGAATCCCTGAGAACTACTTAATCTATATATTTAGTTCCCTGATCTCCTCAGCCATTCCCAATAGCGGCGTTTTGCGGAATCTCTTAGCATGGCTTCCGCACCTCCCACCCATTCTAATCGATCTCAATCTGTCAAAAAGTCCATGCGCCAAAAACGAGGTCGTCGCAAATCAAGCTTAATGAAAAAAGCGTCCGAATATAGCAAGATGTGCGATGCAGACGTCTGTGTGGGCATACGCCTTCGGGAAACCGGCCAAGTATTTATCCTATCAGCGGATACTTCGGGATTTTGGGCATTCCTTAGCTCGCAACTGGTATGTTTCCAACTATGCCTTTGATAAAAAGACAACTGACCTTTCAAGAATTCCTACTATCCATCCCCAATGCTCGTAACAGACCAGGGTCTGGAGGAGCTCGATAAAGATACACCGAAACAACATAAATGAAGTTGTACGACCAAAGGGGAACTTACACCAGACCACAACATTTGCAATCAACATCTTGTATGCAATATTTTCCGTATGCGAATTGGAACAGCCATTATATCAATAGACTGGAAATTAGTGAGGCCCCGAGGGTAAAGCACGATGACTTGTAGTTCCGAAGTAAAATCTCCATACTGTACTAAAGAGTTCGCGGTATATTCTTATGTAAGTCATTTACGACTAACTACTCGTAGTTAGGCCTGAGGATAGGGGAAAGTAGATAGCCTATGTAGTCAGCTTATAGCGTGCGTAATTCGAGCATGGTTTAGACAAAGTGACTTCTAGAGGTACAGTATGGAAAAGCCTGTACTGTACGTAAATGAATGAGAAGTTTTCGTGAAGGTTCGAGAACTATTATGAATCAACAAGGTATGTACGGCCTGGAAAATATGGCAGAAACAGGCATAGCTTGCACAGGACATCTAACCTGGGTGAAATTAATTTTTTGCTCTAGACTTGGGGGTTGCCTAGGTATTAGGAAAAATGCGCTGATTTGGAGTGGAGACTGCTGTCTACCCAATGATATTAAATAAACACTTCAGTTGTTTGAAAGGAAAAGAATTATTTCATTTTTCCTAAGACCACCGATTGTTTAATCAACAGCCGCAAGTTTGCTTGCTGTTGGCCCAAACTTCTCACCACTATGGGCCTTGTACTTACTGTATTCGATTGAGCAAGTTGTCCGAATTACATTGTCGCACATTGCAACATTGTTTGCGCAACCGTTCAGGTTTCTTTAGACCATGTCCATCAGCCTAAGAATTTACGTGTAGTTGTCTACTCGGAATCCAAGTCCGACTCAAGCATTGTACAATTTAAACAGGACATGAACGAATTGATTTTTTTTTTTTCTCTGAGAACTTTCTTTCTGTCTCGCATTTCCAAGCAACTCATAATTCAATGACCAGCTGCAAGTTTGCCTGCTGGTTAAGAGGGCGTGCAAAGTGGTGGTTGAAGTACAGCAGTAAACTGAGGGCCCCTTCTCCACCTAAAGCGCAGGTCCGTGCATTTTATAATCCATTCGCGTCCCCAGCTTACTGGCCAAAAATTATTTCAACCTGCTTGCCAGCACCTCCGCTCCATTCCGAGCTTTCGGGCGAGAACGGGAAACATTAAACTTGTTTCTCCTGAGTTGTACTAGTACTGTAAATCTTCACTCTACACTCACTCCAACTATCCCAGCTCACAGTAGAATCGGACTTGCTCCAACGAGGCGACCACATTCCGGGCTACACGTAGCTGCACATGGGTGCAAGAAATATGCGCGCAATCACTCGCGTACATTGAGCCTATAGGGTCAAGAACACGTTGCATTTTAGCCCTACTTTCGCATGCATAAACTAGCATCACTTCTACTGCGCTTACAATCATGTGGCTCATGAACCTCCCCTCGTACATTTGTAGAGCATTTGTTCACGTGTAGTGCTTGATCGCAATCTCTAGATGCAACCCAATGGTCTATGAAATGGCTGTGTGGTATTTTTTTGCAGCTCTTTCAGATACTTATAAATACGTCAGACTCTCCTGTCGGACCAAAAATTCGTTTTATGTATTGGCAAACCTGAGAATATTCATAGCCCAACAAAGTCTTTTAATCATGTCTTCTTCTAGCATCCAAAGCCATTCAAGCGCAAGCCAGTATGTCGCACCTTCGACATTTAACAGCGATAGCCTTCAGAGCTTTCTTAAGCAAGTCAGTGCACTGGCTTCAAGCCCTGAGTCCCAAGCTGCGTCGGTTATGATGGAAGAATTCGGTCATCAGCGTGAACAAGTCTATGTCAGAAATGAAGAGCTGAAGAAAGCCCAAAATGAAATCCTCGATCTAAAGGAGAGAAAGCGAGTTGCCGTTGAGGAGATGTTTGCAGCCAACGAGAGCGAAAAGGCGAAGCAAAAAGAAGCTCTTAATCAAGTCGACTCACTTTATGCATTAGTTAAACAGAAGGAGCAATCTCTCACCGAGTGCTCCAAGTAAGCACAAGAGCTCCGGCAGCAGGTAGACAGTCTTAAGTCATCCTACTCATTGGAGCTCGGCAAAGTTTCTCAATCAGCAAAGGACATCAGCACACTTCAACAGAATTTGAAAGAGAAAGACAAGATCATTGACAAGATAAAGACTACTGGATCAAGTCTCAAAACAATGCTTTCATCAACGCAGCAGAAGATAGAAGAGCTAAAAGCCGAGAAAGTCACACTGAGCAAAGAACTACAAACGAGCCAAGACCAACTTCGAAATCTCAAAAGCTTCACTGCTCCGCAATTGGAGCTTGATGAAAGCTCAATGTAAGTTACTCCAGGGCAATTGGCGACATTCGTACGCTAACATATTTCACCCAGTTCGACGAACTTTTCAGATCTTTGGATATTTGCTCTAAGCGAGATATTCACTGTCTTGAAGGAGGATCTTGCTGAAAAAACCTTGAAGGTATGTGCATATCTAGACCCTCTTACAGCATGCCCGCTCATTGTTTGTCGTAAGGACCAATCGATCTGGGAGAAGCTTCGGACAGAGAATGCTAGATTTGCCCAGCAATATGTCCCTCTATTACCCTCAAACTCCCCTAAGGCAAAAGGGATGCGTCTAGCCATGACTCTGGCTATTCTTTCGAGGGAAATTTGCAAAAATATCTTCCAGCCTAATTACATTTTACCAGAAGATTCTAAAATCCACGGAATCCTCAGCCACCTCGCCGAGAACGATACCAAGAAGGAAAGTTTTTACCGACAAGTTCTTCTTTCGCTCGATTTTAATGCCGAAGAGAGTCTTCTCTAAGCAAGAGTTCAGACGGTGGTCCGCAATATATCGTCGTATCTATGGAAATTGCTCTCAGAAACTCAGCATGATTCGGTTCGCACGAGTATAGAGAGGATTGCGCAAAAAGCGGCTAATTTTTGGCTTCCAATCCAACGAGCTCAGCAGAAATATGAGACAGGGTTTGATCTAGTCGATATTGAAGATGACGATTGGGAGCCTTTTCGCTTCCCAGGAGATAACGCAATCCCAGATTGCCAAAACCAGGTCGTTCGAGACGTGAATATTCTAACAGTGTTCCCATACATCTTACTAGTCAAAGATTGCGATCGTGACCCTTTGACCCATATGACCCAGTTGAGAAGTTCGCAGAAGCTGTGTATAGCAGCAGGAAATGAGGCTAGTCAAATGTCAACTAGCTTCGTCGTCCCCAGGAGGTCATCGACCCGCTCCAGACGGAAGTCCATCGCCCATAACAATGAGCGACCAAATGGCGCCTCTTTTTAGGAAGATAGCCATGGCCTTCATGATCCAGTTGCGAAAGTGATCCATGTGCTCGTCCGCGAAGTTTTACGCTAGTATCATTGGTGATTGTCAAGCAGGTGACGAACAGAGATCATGGATTGTTTGCTTAAATACCTTGCTTATACCTGTTTCTTTTCAATTGTATGAAATTTGATTGAATGCCTGTTGCTGCACCAATTATCAAGTTCTCCATGAGCCAAACGATTTTCGTTGCTTCAGTAACCTGATTTGGACTAGTGGCACTCTGAACGAGGTGTCAGCCAGGCTTCGGCTTTACTAATTTCCCGAATCATCTTCTTTGTGGCGCCGCTCATTTTCAAATTAATGAATGACTGTTTTGAAGCTTGCAGGCTCATTATTTTGAGGCTACTAAATTGCACAGTAAATAAGAATTCTATCTAGTGTTCTATACATCATGGGCAGAAATGTCAAACCAAAAATTGACCATCAGCAAGGCCTTCTGTGGTCTTACTACTGCCTCACGGGTACCGGACCTGTCACTGTCTCCTTCCTCTCAATGGGGAAATTCACCCATATATACGTAAAAGATAGGTGGCGAAATTCACTAAAGGAATGTTTAAGACGTGTTGTAGCCCATCATAATATTATGAATCTCACAGCAGCGAATGAAGGGCAAAAGCACGAAGGAAGAAAAGTCGGGCTTCTCCCGGCATAATGCCGGCAGAACTACTGTAGCATACACCGTTTAGGTCATATTCTGCCCACTGGCCAGCTATAAGTTCAGCAAACTGCGGGGTAGGTTGGTCTTTATTCCCATCAACCTATACAACCAGCCGATAACTATTTCTCATTATTTGACCTTTGTGATGGAGTCCAAAAAGGCGCTTCAATTTACTGAGTAAGGCTCGGTATTCGCTGTCAGGAAAAGAAATTAGCTAAAAAAAACCCTAGATTTCTAGGCTCGGATACTGTTAGCCTATGCACCTCATCGAGCTCTGAATCATGGAAAATCCATCGAAAGCTCTTAGTGTCGAAATGCAGAGCTTTAGAATCTGCTTTTTCTCACGAATTCCAGGAGCGTACTTCTGGGCAGTACACATTTAGTGAAACAACCCATGATACTGTCGCACGTTTCATCGAATGGTCATACCGGAACGACTATACGGAACTTGATCTTACACCTATTGAGGCCAAACAAAAAGCTCGACCTAAATCAGAGTCTGCGGGGCCAAAAAACCCTAGCGACGATCATCAACTGCAAGCACACACAATGCTATGCCACTTGAGAGTCTACATATTCAGTGACACATATTTGGTTGACGACCTCAAGAACCTAGCATTTGAAAAGTTTACGACTGTAGTTAAAGATGTGGGAGACCCCAAAAATTTGAGTGAGCAGCTCGCGGTCATTGACTGTCTATCATTGGCGTTCTCAACGCTCCCTCCGCACGATAAGCTTCTTGAATGGCTAGCCCGGTATGCCGCTTGGTGCCTTTCCAGCTTACGTCTCCAGGAGAACTTTCATAAGTTGCTTCAGAAAATTCCGGCGCTCAGCTATCGCATGATGGAAACATTAAATCCAGCCAACGAAGCTCCTTGGAATATCAAATTGTCAAAATACCGTGTCCCTTCTTACGATGCTCGCACTGACGAGGATGATGTTTATGATGATTAGGTAGCAAAGGGAGGAATCCAACATCTCAACTACTCATTCCTACAATTTCTGTGATACCTAATCATACGCCTTCGAGATATCCACCAAATTCACACTTTGTATGAGTAACGGGAATTAATTCTCAGGATCTTGTATGATTCTTTGTTTAAATCAGCCTATCGAAATTCTACTGATTAATTGGTTCTGGAGATGCAGCCGTCTAGCCTCTAACTCTTTCCGGTAGAGTTACGCTCGATCTCGATGTGCGAATGAACCTCAAAACCAATAAGTCACATAGAAAAAGTTCTGGGAACGTCTTATAAATTGCTGTGGAGTGTTTGAAGTCAAGAAGAATTCCGCACCGCATCAAATCTCGAGTTGTGCTTCAACAATCGAAGGGAGAGGCCACCGAATGCCAAAACTACGTGCGATGTGCCGGGATGCAGATAGGCTGCAGTGCTTCATTACATGTTCGACGCTGCGAATTAGGAAGATGAAAAAATAGAGAATTGAGAGTGACAGAAGAAGGAATGGTTGGACCGAGCTACTTGCAGAGACAATCATGCTTTCAAATTCGTTGCTAGCGCTTGCAGTTGCGGTGGGCAGACTTCATCTCGTAACCATGCTGGCAGATCGAATAGATTCTCTCAAATCAGAAATAAATATATATTTGCTACACTTCTATGTCAAAAGATAAGGGTGCACGCATAAAAGTTACTTTTATCATTAGCGATAATTCTATTTAATGAGCAGCTAGATGTAAAGAAAAGATGAGATATCAGGAACTTCGGTACTTCATATATCCTCGCTTTGCGCAAGCCGGCGACTGGTGCAAGAGATATTGTTCTTTTTGAGGAGCAGCGCGAACAATTTCTTCAAACGGTTGAATTGCCCGAAGAGCAACGACCGAGACTTTCCACATGAGACCCCCTTCACTCCGCCCATCAATGAGCTCCCACTGAAGACGAACATTGGAGTCAGCTCCAGGAGCAGATACCTTCATCAAGTTTAGTACCCCAGTCACCGTGGAGTAATCTAGCCAAAGGTTTTCTTCGGGGCCAGGTATACCGTAGACAACGCTGTATTCTGAAGAGTACCGAATCAACCCGGCAAATATGCCAAGGGTATCTCCTTCCTGCACTGAAATGATGGGGCAAACCGCGAGAAAGACATCATCTTTGGGTTGAAGAGTAATGAAAATAGATTTGTTCCGCATTGTTTCTGCCATTGGCTGCAAGTCAAAGAACCCACCGTGCGTAACAGCGGATGGCTCATGCGATCCGCTCAATTGGAAGACGGTTTCCTCTACGCTGGAGGACCATGGGTTGATAGCGCTGTTCCACGCATTTTCAGGGACACTAAGTCTGTCGGCTACAAGCGGCTGGCTCAGCCATAGTCTTCCTGTCAAATCGCCCTTGCTCTCCTCGGCCACACGCTCTTCCAATTGTTTGATATGGAAGGCATATCTTTCTTCCCAGTTCCGAGCCATCTCCACCAAAGAAGCCCCTCTACCTCAGAGTAGGACATTGTCGGAAAAGGAACCATCTCCTCACACCAAAAACAAACAACATATCCGCGCTCGCAGACGCCCCTTGCGGACCGTTCAGAGACCATATCTACGATACTGATCGATGGTATATGAATCTGGATCGTATTATAAGAAGTACTCGTCGCGATTGGGCGGATTGTGGTATTGGACCAAACTTCAAATTAATTGTTCATACGCGGTTTCTCGTAAGCACGCCGGGGAGGGCACGAGACCTGAACCATACCCAATAAGGTAAAAATAATGACAGAGTCCTCTGCCCCTTTTGCGGCATCAAATGTAGGTCACAGCTCATTGCATATGAATTTTACGGGATAAAGTGGAAATCAACTCTAGGCTCTATAGATACTGGCCGAAAGATCAGCAATATTGAGTTTGCCAAACTTGAACCGTGCAGTAATCCGGCACATCTACATAGTATTCCAAGCTGTAGCATTTCTCCTGTCAGGCGCAAAGTCCATTATACTTGGAACGACGCATATGACTTTTGACAGTCGATCCATCGTTCCCAAATTGCGGCAAGAGCCTGCATTCATTGTAGAAATTTGGCGTTAACTTCTTAGGAAGAAGACTGATTCTGTGAAGCTCAGCAGACAGTGTCGAATCCCTGAGTGGACGCCCACGAGTGGAGGAAACAGGATAGAACATGAGGACATGAAAACGCCGGTGACTCCCATTCCGTAATGTGATACGAAAAAAGACACACCGCAATCCTGTTGGGATAGAATTTTCTGTAAAATGGCTGTGGAGCTGCACCAAGAGTGTCACCTACTGGCGTCGGTCGATTTGGCCATGGACTACGCAGCTCCAGGCTGAAGTCCAATTGGCTTCTAGCTATCAAGGATAAGCAGCCAATGAAGACCAAGTCAAGTTTCAGGAGACCCAAACAAATAATTGTTTGGGTTGCCAGAGCTAGCCAATTGTCTTGGATCAACGAATAGTATCGATAGGGACTGGCATATGCGAAGTTCTTTCAGCGCCTAGGCCATTAAATCGCAATGTAGGCATAAATAAACCACCCAATCACGCTATAGATCGCCAATAATCATGGTTTGTCTGCTGCGGGCCCACGGTAAATTACTGGCGAAGAAAAGGTTGGAGGTAGGACCGGGGCAGTTCGGGACACCTTTTTGAGGCAATTGGTCATTCGAAGCAATTGGCCATCATTTCATCCGCTAACCACCAGTTCCGGTTTATAGGGGTTCTACAGAGCACGGATGCCCTAGCGCTCTGCTCATAGTTGGGCGCAAAGCCGGCGTCATGCCCATGATTTCTGATTCCCCCTTCGCATCTCAGCACTTTCATTTCTTCATAAGGCAGAATATAATTTTACCTCACATTCCTGCTGGCTTCGACATATTACTTACAGGTAAACCTGCTGCACAGATCTTTGGGGTATACAATGATTTACCGCAGGCTAAAGCATTGTTGTGACAGTGTGTCAGCCACCTCGGCCCATTCTAAATCCTCAAGAAAAAGGGCCTAAGCTGCCGAACCAATACTTGCGTCACCTCCATCCATCTTTGAGGAACAGAAGCACAAGAACCATGGTTCAGAGGACTGGAAACAATCGCAGCCCCATAAAGACGGTTGGGCCCAAGAAGCGTCCAGAGGGCAGCAAATAGCGCAGGGCGGAGGGCATCTGCCGAAAATGAATAAGTGGATGGTAGAGATCACTAGAATTGATACAACATCGATTCTCATATCGTCAAATAGCGGGATACCGTTGCTCGCTTGTTTCGAAGGTCTCAATCGCATTCCCACGGAATGCATTACTGCTCTGGGCCCCTGGCGAGGCGATTCTTATCAGAATCCAAGCGGTTGAGTTGTTGAAATATATACAGCCTCACGGGGAGCAGTACCGCCTATTCTGGAATTGGATATTGTGTTTAGATATTGGTAAATGGATTGAAACGCTCAGCTCAGATACATTCAATAATGAGTTCAACCAAGTCTGTTCTTCCTGAGCTCGCGAATGCTCTGCTGCTTTCAATTATCCTGAATATGGATAGGTTTTTCATGCGTTGCCCAACCTTCTTTTCATGTTTAAGAAATCTGTATTGTTATATATGAGTACACAAGAAGTTGAATGATTTTCTCCCTCGTTGGGGATGTCACTGCTCTTATTTCCTTCAACTGGGCCCCAAGCCTTGGGCTCAAACCTCCGGCGGTTTTCTCCATTGATATCCTTGCCTATCTCTCTAAACATTAGATCAATATCATCCAGCAAATATACCATAGGCTCATCATTGTGCTTTTGGTGGTCGCTGGTTCCACCAAGACAGCCTTCAACACTGACAGATGCAGGGGCATCGTTGAAGCCTCGGGTAGACTTCGCATTCCTCAAACCCCTTTCCCATGTGAGTAAAGGAACTGAATTGTTCACAAGTTCAGTGTTCGTGCGTTCTTGTTCGTATGGTACGCTGTAATAGACCGACTAGTTCACGGCACGACCTGCGCAAATCTCATACCCGTTAGCAATAACCTTTCACTGTAACGCAGCACTATGAGATTGAACAGACCTAGTTGCATAGCTTTTTCCTTGGTCCCCATGATTTCTGATATAGCACTTGTTGGAGGGCTTGGTTCGTGCCTTTGAGACAGCAGCTGGCCAGGAAGTCAACTCTTCGTCCGCAAAAAATACCTCGACTCCCTTAGGAATATCCTAGTGACTCCATATGAAGTGAATGAATGTGAGAGTGCAAATGGAAAGGGGTTCCCCGAGGGAGATGTGAACGGAGAACAGAGTACGCCACTTGAAAATTGGAGACATCTTCGACGAAGAGGAGCTGCTCCTGACTTTCCCAAGCATATGTATTCCTCCTGTGGCTCTTGCTTCCATCTCTGACTGTCCGGCAACGTCACTGATATGACCTTCAGGAGGTCTTCAGTAGTAGGATGCGTTTGTAGACAGTAGTCGGGGAGAATGCGTTAAATCTGGCATGCTGTTACATAACGGCACTTGCGATGAAAGAGGTTTGAGTTTGGTTGAGGGTGTGATGTTGTTTGATCTTGGAATGCGAGGTAGAGAGTTTGCGAGAAGGAGAAGAAGCTCAGCACTGCCTGTCTGTTTTAGGTAAGGCACCCTTCGATTGTCTTCTCTTCACCACTGCCTCACGCACCTCAATACCCTGGCCTAGCTTGTGTCTTTCACCTGCCAGCTCTTGAAAATAAAACACACGCCATATCCGTGTGACAAACTTTCTTTTCCGTCCCATCCTTTCCGACGAGTTCAAGTTCACTGAGTTTTCAAAGTCCCCCCAGCAGAAGCTTTCATATTGAACCCCGAAGTCTAGCCTTTGAGATGCTTCAACATGTAGCATCTCTCTTGCGTATTGGTAACTTGTGCTGATTCATACTAGTTCTAGTACCGACAGTCCTCAGGCCCACCGAACTCTTAACCTCTCCCATCCGTCTCTTCGTCAACCGATCGTCGTGCCTGATTTCTCGATTTCGACCAAAATACCCGATAAAGCTGCTTTCGGCAAGGACTTTCAGCATCTTGTTGTTGGAGTTACAATTTGCTATACTCTTGACAGGATGAAAGACCTGGCGTAGGCTCCAAGGGCTACTTGAACGCCGGGCAAAAGCTCCGCGACCGCACAGCTCTCGTGCTTTATTGCTTCAACGTGATCAAGCCGCCGCATACCATAAAATACTCTTGTTGATCTTTTGGGGCCAAAAAGCTAGTCCTCAGGATCGCTAGCCGAAAGCTTCCTCTGTTGACTCTACCTCGTTATGCGTGATCATATATGAAGGGTACTCGTGGCGTCGATTGAGACATACTGCAACCCCGGAAGAAAGCACAACTAGTGGTGCAGGGTGAAATTTTCCTATGGCTCTAGGGCTCTCCTCACTAGGTAAATGCAGCCCGAGGCCAAAGAGAACACTTCTCATGGCCAGCCTTGGCTCGAAGTTCAACGGAAAACACACCCCCTGCTCGGGTACCATCAAGTCCACTTCTCACTTCTCCATATTCCATGCAGACAAGATAACTACATAAGCTCTAGCTTTCCATCCAATCTACTTCTTCCCACAAAACTCTCTCAAGAAGGTTTCTCTACTCATGTCTCCGTTGGCAAATATAGCCCGGCCACTTGCAGCATCACGTAGAATCACAGTTTCATGCCTCGAGCTATCCCGTCCAGTGCTGATCATGCTTGTGTTATCAATTGTGCAGTCATTGAAGACATAGGTTCGTCGAGTCTCATGGCCAATACCGTTAGGCTCCCCACCGCAGGGCATGATGGCTAAGGCAAGTCAATACTCAAGTTTTGTACTGACAATGCGTATCATAAGTACCTAGGTGTCTCTGTTTGTTCGAAATAGAAAGAGGATCATTGGACTGAAGTTCATCATCTCCGGGGGACTTTCGGTCCTTTGTAAGATAATTTCAATCAGTACAAGTTTCTGAGGGTGTAAGAAATCCCAGACAAGCTTCGAGGCTAGGTTTACCGGGTCCAGACCATCCCTCATGGAAGTCAAGTTTGATCGAGTCTTGGAATTTCATCAGTCACAGGACACTTCGAGGAGAAAGGAGGCTATCATGAGCATAGTACATACCAAAGCATTCCTCTCCATCTTTTTCATGTCTGACTGGATAGGCTCGTGCACCGCTGCAGGGCTTACACCTGAGTCGGTCTCATCTTGAGCTGATGCACCCTGGGAACTGTCTTTGAGCCATTTGAGAGTCATTCTGGAAGCAAATTTCTTTCGTGTAATACCATGAAAGGGAGATTGCACGGGTAGTGTTGGATAGCAGGGGAAGAGAGACCAGAAAGAGGGGCAGTGGATCGACCAGGGGCCGACGTGCCATATTACCCCTAGTATTGTCTATGTACGGCTTGGTATGATTGCTATGTCCATGACATGGGACCAGTTATAGACCCTTTAGTCTGCCGCAGGACCCTACGAGCAAGCCTCGGCGTTAAGACCAGGTCATACAAATCACTATGGTCAAGAGCCCGACATTGGCGCCAGTTGCGGCTTGCTCGGACCAACTCTTTGAGCAAGATCAAAGTTCGGTTCCTCTGCGCTATCCTCCAATGAAGTTGAGGCGATGAAAACCAATTCACATACGTGGTTAGAGCTCTACACTAGTACAGTGCCCTGAGAGCGAGACAGAAGCGCCAATCCTTCCCCGAATCCTCGCTTTTAGATGCCTGTCCAACAATCCTGACAATCTAGACCTTGCATTCCATCATTACTGATTGCTTGATATACCACTTTTTACTGGGAAATGTCCAGGGGAGGTTTCTTGCTCATATAATTGGGTCTCCACCCCGGATCAACATGGACACCCGAGATCAGTTCTTGTTTGATCAGATGAATTACCCAAGCTCATATCTCGCATATCATAACGTTTCAGCGTACTGTCCGGTAGTAGATGTGAGGCTCCCTACGACTTATTATAGAAACGACGATTTCGGCTACGAACAACCAACGGTACCACTTTTGGCTGCACCATCCGCGCCCACGGTGTCCCTCCCGCCGCCGCCTCCCAGGTATCGCGCGATCCAACCTCGACCCGGTACAAGTGACTTTCAGGTCAAAAGCAGTGATGATACTCCGCTTCGGTCTGAGCTTCGAAAGGGTCGGAGAGGTAGAATGCCCAGAAAGAGCCAACAGAAAAGGAATCGCAAGTCCAAGTCCACTCGGCTAGAGGCAGATACCAACAAGGTTACTTCAACTAAACCAGAGTCACAGAGGTTTGCTTTGCCCAATTTTGGATCTTATTACAGTTTCCAGTCTAATTTACGGATAACAAATTCAGTTCCACGGTCTTCAACCGATGTACGAATTCTGACCCGGGCTCGAGCAGCCAACAGTCCACTTTCGCTCCTGGTGAAATGCCGCCTACAAACGACGCTTTCATCTCAGAGACGAACCAATCGCCAATTTTTCCCAGTTACGCATCCGAAATGCTTGCCCATGTCCGGTCAACCGATCATCCCGACGTACACGGCTCCCTTGTTCGGTCAGATAATCACTCCCAATGGCCGAGCATGTCGCTTGAGATAGGCCAGAGCCAAGATTACAATGAAGTAGCCTGTGATGAATTGGCAGTGCATCTTGAAAAGGAACAGGCTCTGCAATCTTTGTACATTTTGCAGGATTATATGGCAAAGCACCCTTCTATCTTTGAAGAGCAAGCACCCGAGACGGTTCACCGATGGCTGGCTGGCATAAACAGCATGAATCAGCCAGGCCCATGCCCATAATAAGTAGAGGCAGACCAGCAGAACAGGTTGCTTAGATGACATATGAAACAAATTCTCATGGGAGCCACATGCTCAGCATCAGCTATCAGTGAACCAAAAGATAGAGGCTCAGAATAGTACCGCACGGGCTTTCCAGTATTACGATGAGCAAAGGAGGCCAAGAAAGGCGATTGTGGATCTATTTCAGCAGAGTAATCTTCATGTTACATTTGGCCACCATTGAGTTATCAGGAGAAGTCTCTTCCTCTATTGGATGCCCCCGTAAAGCGACAGATCTTCATCCAAGACCAATGATGCTGTCGAGAATAACAATAGCTTTCAGATTACACAACGAAATAATGTCGTCGACATATGCTAGATCTTTGGTCGGCGATAGAACGTGGCATTTGGTATTCCTGGCTATAGCAATAGTCAGAAGAGTCTGGGTCTTCAAATCAGGGTTGCTCGGCCTGTTGGAACTCTGGATGCGGGCATTTTCATGGAAGTGAAATTAGCTTCAACGAGCATTTAGAACTGATCAGTATTGGAGTGTTCTATCCTGTACTAGAGTGCAAGTCTCTCGCTAAAAGTGGAAAGTACTTCACGATTTTTTTTCGATAGTAAAAATTAAACTCAGTCAAGTTTATTACCTCCCTTCTTGACATCATTTATAGGAGAAGCATGATGAAAGTAGCAAAGAATGCGAATGACTATTCCAGAAGTGATATTTGAAACCATAGTCAAAAACACACATCGCTATCATTGGGTCAGCCTTGCCACAGCTACACGTTTAGCAAAGGCCCTCAATTCTCTTGTGTATCAAGCCACGTCACAGTGGACTGATTCAATGTCCAATATGACCCGGCTGTGCTACTAGGAGCTCATACCTGACCCAAATCTATTTCAATTTTCTTCAATTAATATAAAATCAGCGCTGAACAGAATGATAAAGGGATTGTCAAATTCAATTAAATGATAACGACATCTTTCACCATGCCTGAGACAACGTGGGTTTATCATTTCATTGGAAGAGGTACCTCTGAAGTTCAGCAAAAAATCAAAAGAAAAGAAAAACAGAAAATATAAAAGTAAAAAAAGGAAATCAAGACAAAAAATAATACTAATCATTAGCATGCTCTTTGATTAAGTGGATCAGTTCCGACCCGCACACAGCAAGAGCTCCACCCGGGCGTACTGTATGACAAGATATTTTGGTATCGGCCACGTAAATACGCTTATGGCACCCACTCTCTAAGAAGTTCCCCGATGTTGCAGAAACTATGATTAGAACACCTGGAAGAGTCTAGAACTAGGGCACGGCAGAGCCTGATACACCCGGGCTTTCTAGGTCACATCCATGGGGCTTTTCGCCATCTACTTAAACGATCATCTACCTCCTTTTCTTTCAGGTCCATCAATCTCAGCCACATTGATCAAGTCTCAGGGTTTGAGACGGAAGCCGTCAATATGAAAGGACACACTTCAAACATACAAATGGTTAAACAGTTGGCCAATCCCATCCCCGAAAACCAGCTGCTCAATGAAGTAAGAGAAATATACGATGAGCTAGTTATTGCAGAAAGAGAATGCATTAATGTGGTGGATATCGTCTCACAAATAGACCAAACCGCGGGACTATCGGATGAACAATGGAGCTTGTGCACCTCGTTGCACAGAACACTCCTCCACAAGCATTTTGACTTTTTCATTGTTTCGCAGTATCCGGCAGCCAGCCCAATCTTAAGAAGCCTGGCTCAAAGATACGAGATGCCTGGACGCATGTGGCGCTACGGAATCTACTCCTATCTGGAGCTGTTGCACAAAAGGCTCCCCAGTGTGCAAGAGCATATTCTAAGCTTCATATATTTCTCGTATTCGATGGTGACACTTCTTCAGGAGCACTTCTCCGCATTTGAAGAAACCTGGACAGAATGCTTGGGGGACCTAGCACGCTATCGTGCTGCAGTGGAGAATTCCGATGAGACAGTCCGCCGTCACTGGTTAAACGTTTCCAGAGATGGGTACAATCAGAATATCGATCAGTTATCTAGAACTGGCCAAATTCAGCACTATCTTGCCGTTATCTCTCGTCCGGATACTTTGCAGATGTTCTTTTACTTCTCGAAAGCATTACTCAGCGTGGACCGATTTCCAAAAGCGCGGGAAAGCATGATTCAGCTGTTCAACGATACTCTAAGCGCACCGGCTGAGGAACACACATTGGTCACTTCTTTTGTGGCTGCCCATGGTGTTATTTTCAAGCGTATGCCATATGACCAGTTTGTGACTCGGTCCAAATTCTTCCTTTTAAAACTGCTTCGGGAGACTAGGCGGTCAGGTGTGGAGGCACGAGAAAGAACGTTGATCATGTGCTGCAATATTGCAGCGATCTTGGACTATGGAGAAGAGAACGGAGAGTTTGCGATGGACTTTGCTCACAACGCAAATAAATCTACTGCAGACGCTTATATTGTTGCAAAGCACTGGGCATCTGCACTGACACCTATCGAATCAAACATATATCTCTATCCCAACTACTCATCTGTGTTTGCATTCCGTTCCAGCTTGCTCACGTTCCACACCTTACACATGATGTTTAGTCAAGCAAGTGAGCCAAATATGCACCAAGCTGCGCATCTTTCTCTGGCATTCCTATGGTGTCTCACACTCCATCCAATTGCCATGTACCGACTCGAACCGCTAGTTCCATGGCTGGCACTCGCAAATTATCTGAATACTTTGTTGCATCCTGAATTCAATATTGCAGTGACTGAAGCCGAATCATTTCCCCAAATTGAAGATACACCTACGCAGCAGCTGCCGGAAGACTTCCTGATTAGAGGTCATCGTTGGAGCCGGCTTTACTACCCTGTTGATTTCTTTAAAGGGGCGGCTTCAGAATATGACAGGCCATTGATCGAGAATCCGGGCACCATGTTTGCGAGAATCCAAAGATGCCTATGGCTTGGAATTCGGATTGCGAGTGTTTGTCTTTCCTGGAACTCTGTATAGCACATTTTGCTGACCATATCTTGACATCTAGTTTTCTCGCTGGATAACATATGATCAAATACAATTTACGCCTACCAGGCTTGCGTTTCAATTTGCGACAGTTGCTCAACATCCTGAACACTTCAGTCGAGGTTCTTACACTGCACCTGCGCCTGTGGAGTGGAAATCAGGGGACTTTGGAAATGAAGGCACGGGTGCTGGTCCGAATTTAGGCCTGTTGAGGCGATGCATTTGTTTAGCTACTGTTATCTAAGTTTTGTTGATAGCTCCCAAAATATGTGAAGCTCTCAAGGCTAGCGAAGATACAGAGTAACTGGTGTGTAATTTCTCGACTCTGATGCCCCAAAGAGGGAGTGCCGCATTTGTTGTTGGTTGACTTATCATTTCCCGGATTTGCCACTCAAGTCATGTACATTACCCCTGTCAGACTTCGAGATGAAGGAAATGCCGTCGAATGTAAACCGTCCTTGCTACAGTATATAGACAGATAGGGTGATAGCGGTGGGAGTCTGTCCAGCCCAGCTGCACATACGAGGTTCGTTATGCCCTGCTTTGTGGTCCCAGTGTCGTAAACCTTCTATCAAATTGCCTTTTTAATCATATGAACAAGTATGAGCAAAGTTTTCCCACAGTATGATGATAATAACCAGAGTCCGTATTTCCGCATCGCCGTGTTCAATGTCAAGCTGTAACTATCTACAGATACAAGGGTTTTACTTTTTGGCTTTCCTCCCCCGTTCTGCACTTATTGATTGAAAGGACAACTACAATATTGCAACCAGAGTAAATAAGTAAATGCACTAGACCTCGTCGATCTGATATCAGTTCACTTGAGCGTGATCTTTTTCACGGGTGCAGTCAAAGAAAAAACGTTTCCTTAATTCATGCGGCCTTTCTATCTCTGTCCTGATAGAATCAATAGGTATCCATGACAGTATTCTGATGCCAACATGCACATCATCATTTTCAATAAACCAGTTACGCTCCTGTTGATGGCTTGTTGATTCCTAGAGGCGTAAGTGGCGCTCCTTGCGCTATAGCTTAGTCTTTTCAGAGTGACTCGATGGAGCAGATTTGTGCGCAGGATTGGTGAAGGTGTTTCTTGAGGGCTCTGCGGGGATTTGAAAGGTACTATGGTCACTCTATGATGCTGAAGTATGCTCCCAGGGGCTCTGCAGCTCCTGGATCTGGATGTTTTATTCCCAGAGCCATTTTTTGTTCCGTCAGGAGCATAGTGTAAAGATCCCAGGAGCAGATCTCGTCTTCCTGGAGCCTAGAATAGCCCTAGAAGCTAGAAAGCATTTCCTAGGGGTGCAAAGCTCCTAGAAAGGCTTTGTGTTCTGATTTTCAGCCTCAAGCTGACAGTTACAAGATACACGGCTCACCAAGAATCAGATCAAGCTTCTCCAGGATTCTGGGCCCCATTGTGGCATTAGACAGAAAAAGGGGATGAGATAAAGTATCCAGTCTCACTATCAACACAAAAGTCATTCAAGGCAGTCGAACTTTGCCTAGAATCCGAGGACTTTTAGCGCTCTGTTGGAAGTCCGGCATGATGGTGCTGATGTGAATTTTGTGGTGTTTGTGTACGATAAATTACCTCATTTTTTGGTTCTTGCTGGGGTGAACGCGCCAAAGGATATACATTGAAACACAACACTTTTTTTTACATTCGTTGAACGACTCAAGAACTCCCACGGCAGACAAAATAAAATTTAGATAAATAAGAAAAGTCAACGAACAACGTATCTCCACACCGGTCAACGACAATTCGAGCACCCGCTCGCGCGACCGTCGCCTAACGCTTCCGCAATCCAGACAGAGTCTTGACGGACGGAACACTACACACGACTCAGACAACCAACATTCAAGCGAGGCGCGGAAAAACACAATCTATGATGCGTAGTGATGGAAATGTCGGCGCTATTGGTAAAATTAAAAAATGAATCCATTTCATTGCCTCAGTATAGAAGACCGAATGTTCAACAGTGAGCCAACGTTTCTTAACCGACTCAGCTTCACTTATTCTCAGCATGACCGACATTTTTGCTCGGTGGGCATCTCAAATAGCCCTGAAGATGTCGCTGCAGATAGTTGTGGTAGTAGAATCTGCCTCACTTAGGATAGGCATCGTGTCCTTCAACGTTTGCTTCTCAGCAGAGCACACGCGACTGGAGCTGAGGAGCCTATAAATACGTCCTCCTCCCCCCAGCAATTTGTTCTGCAATACTTTTCCTTGGCTTCCAGAGTCGAGCGGCCTTTCTCTTTGAGGCACCAGATAAGTTTCTTTCTCTGACCTTACTAGAAATTCACTATACTGACATCTATAGTTACATTGTGGTCCTCCAAGGAAGTGCGAATGAGAATGTGATTCCCACCAAGTTCACTTTGCTACTGTACCCATGGCAGCCGACCACTGTCCGATGAATACATCGATGTAAAAGAGCGGTTAGACGGGTCACTGCCAGCACGATACTGTCCAAATTCAGCTGACCCCATAGATGATACGAAATAATACTACGTGCATTCGCCCGGATTACACCAGCCACGGAGCCCTTTCCCGTGTCTTTATGCAGACTATGTGAGTCATGCAGTGTCCCGCTATTCAAAAGCTAATGATGGACAGGAAACCGTGATACACTCCAATTTGACTCCGAAGTAGCACTCCGTCAGTGCTCCGCGAAGGGTCATTACTTACGCACCATTTCTGGCTCTCTCACTCCAAACCACGCAGTGTGTCCTGCATGAGATACCGCCAACCAAGGTCGCGGGCCAAGGTCATGATGAATCAATTCCAGACGTTCGTCGTCTATGGTGAGCTGAGAGGAATATCGCGCCGCTGGCCGCGTCAAGTCCGATGCGTTGTGCCACAAACTGGAAAATCATCGACATTATCATGCCCGTTATAGCAGCCTATCATCAACCGCGGACGCTCTTGCGCGAGAAAAGCTATTCCCGCCAAGTCGGATAAAACTGCGGGCCGCGCTCTATTGTCTCCACCTCATCGGCTTCGCACCCTGCACGACGTCGTGTCTCTAAAAGGAGTCCTCCATCACGACTGTACAATCGTAACACAGATAGGTCCCGAACTTGCCATGCGCACCCAGCGTGGCTTTCCCGAACAAGCTGATTGCATAAAACGCGGCACATGGATGAAACCGTTAAACAAGAGACATAGTGGTCTCGCTGGTAGGCTGGTATGACGACGATCCTGATTGACCGACTGTCTGAAGCATACCATCGATCACCGGGGAAGTCAATCAATAACGTAAAGTACATTGCCTCGTCCAACTGAATCAACAATGGCTGACTCTGATCTGATTACAGGCAACCCTCGGATTCCCCTGACTCGAATGCGAAGTGAGGAAATTGCGTGTCTGTTCGGCCTTGCTGGTACCATTGCATGGCCTGTGCGTTTTCCAAGACTATTGCTAGCTTCAACGGGTCGCCAACTCGAGTTTTGAGTCGATTTATCCACCAGATCACTTAGTATGCCTACAGTAGAATTCGAAAACAGATTACCCCTCAGAGACACACGCTTTCTATCTCAGCGACCCGCCGCGATCGCGCTAAGCCGAATTTAGTCGGGGCTGGCCCGCCACCTTTTGGTTAAATGTACTTCTGGTAGATTATTAATATTACGGTATTTGCAATTTCCAGCACTTGACAGACCGTTTTTGCCGACTGGATACTGTGCGAATGACTTGATCTAGCTACGCAGTCATGTGATGACGCAGCCCAAAAATTGCCCGCCCGATGGCAACTCAGTTTCCCCTACCAGACCTACTAAGGATACGAAACCTATCTCCAAAACATACTAAATATATGCTTACGTACACAAATATTCGCCATATTTGCCCCTCTCACTGCTCCAACGGAGCCCACGTAAAGTATTCTTGTGATGTCGCGAACCAACACGATCCTTGATCTCCCTACCGAGATACTACAAATTATAGCTTATTATCTCGATGCGGATGCGCCCAATCTCATCTGGCTACGAAGTTCGTGTCAAATTCTCCGCAGCTCAATACCGCCTCCTACCCATGCGAAATTGATAGAATGGGAAACCGCTGGGTTCGGACTTCAGAACGACTTGTACGCTTGTCGGGATTGTCTTAGACTGCGACCAAAGGCAAAATTCGGAGATAAGATGACAAAAAAGGAAAAGGCCAAATGGGGATTCGATGTGATGAATCGATGGTGCGTGGAATGTGGTATCAAACCGCTCCCAGGCACCAATCGATACACGGCCGGTAACCACATTCAAATTTCGGGGGAACATTATGTTATCTGCCTTCAATGTCGACATTTCGGGGCAGGAGCTTCAGAAGACGGCAAGCCATTGTCGGTTTGCCAAGACTGTCAGCATGTTACGAAGACAAGAGAGGAACGTAGGGCGGCTGATCGAGCACGGCAAGAACGGGATCGGTTGCGCGCTGAACAGACTGAGCGGAGAGCCCGAAGACGTGCGATCTATGGTTCAGATTCCGACAGAGATGACATTGTTCCACCGAGTCCTACATTCAGTGAGGAGCAGATGGATATGATCCAACTTGAAGCCAACAGCCCTGGGGCTGGGTCTGACTGAACTACGGGTGGATGAAAGAATGGATGGATATATGATTAGTTTAACCCGACCGGACGAATGATGAGATCGTACGTACTGTACTGCATGGCAACTTGCTGGAAAGTGTATATACCGTAATATTGATGATCTACCAAAAGTACATTTAACCAGAAGGTGGCGGGCCAGCCCCGACTAAATTCGGCTTAGCGCGATCGCGGCGGGGCGCTGAGATAGAAAGCGTGTGTCTCTGAGGGGTAATCTGTTTTCGAATTCTACTGTATCTGATCTAGACTCGAAGGAGTGCATAGCAGTCTGTCTCTCAGAATTTGAAGACCTACGGGGATAGCCGATAGCCTTGTGGCGTGGGTATTTGTTCCGCCTGATGGTATGGATGTCTACTGCAGTAGATGCTGTCTCCATACTCTAACTGAACTCCGTGATCGATACGAGGCGATACCAAGACCTGAAGATTATGCAGGACAAATACTTGCACATCCAGCGAGGCATACGGTCACCATCTCAACCTTGATGGGCCCTACAAATCGTTCATGAAGCTTGTACCCGAATGCGACCGCTGAGAATTCAAGGCATACGAGTGTGGAGCCTAAATGCGGGTTCAGTCAAGCTCTGTCGACGCATGGACATCGGAATATCCGACCCTCAAGACCGAGAGGTAGAGCATATGACTGCTCATTCCGTTCGGAAAGCTCACAATTTGCTCTACGTAGCGGCCATGGAATTCTCAAGGCTGTGGGGACAGACCCCGCTCTTTATGAGAGGCGTTACAGCGAATATTCTGGTTCAGCTGTAACGCGCCCTCGAGCCGGGGGGCGGGGTCCCCCAGAGACCCCCTTTATGGGGGTCGGCGAGGCAATTTCCAATTGCCGGGGGTGCCCCCCAAGGCGACGGGCAAGACTTGCCTGCCAGCCCGTCGATTGTGACGTCTCTTAAACAGCCCTTCCATCGGTTCATCTATCCCTTCTATTATCGGAATCCGGGTCTTATCACCTCTTGTCAATATGCGTGCAGCATATGTTCCCGGCCCGTGATGCACCTCTTCCTGTCGGTTGATATCCCGTCGTTCACTCTGTCATGTTATGCTGGTGCGTGTATGGATTGGACGCCTTTCCATCTCTTGTTTGATGCTCGAAAAGTACTATCGCCTTCCTCCCTTAGTACGACGACCTGTGGATGATGTTGGACGCTTCTCAGATCCGTATGTCACGTAGGTTTGGTTTTGATGTACAGAAAGGCGTTGTCTTACCAGAAAGGCACAAGCGCATGTTCTGATTCTGTTCCAGAGCGCCCTCGAGCCGGGGGGCGGGGTCCCCCAGAGACCCCCTTTACGGGGGTCGGCGAGGCAATTTCCAATTGCCGGGGGTGCCCCCCAAGGCGACGGGCAAGATGCGCTTACCCATGGTGCATCCTGTCACACCGCCCGTTCACACTTTCTTTAAGCTGCTGCAGAACATTGTACTTAGCCACTTTCACCACACAGCAATCGTTTCTGTCTTGTCAACAATGGGAGGTCGTATTATGCCCATGGAGTACACTGAGCATGATCAACACACCGCCGGCCTTCTTCCCAGTCTCAGACAATCCTTATCTTTGCATTTATTGCCCACAAATCAAGTTTAGAGGACTAATAAACAAAGAGTGTAGGATATATCTCGTCAGACAAAAGGTGGCCCTAACACTCGAGCACATACAAGGTTCCGGGCCCTATCAGCTGCACGTCATACTCGATGCTTTGCTCTCAGCAGCATACCCAGTGGAGAGTAATCGACAGAATGAGATACCGCAGACAATGGGGTGATCTAATAATTTCTTGGGATGGACTGGGAGCTATGTCTCAGAACATCAGATTCTTCAACGGGCTAGGTCTACCGCCATTTCAGGGCTGTTTCTTCAGTATCATGGCGGAGAGCATTGGCATTACCGATCTGAGAAGCGTCCAACATCATCGACAGCTCGTCATACTAAGGGAGGAAGGCGATGGTACTTTTCGAGCATCAAACAAGAGATGGAAAGGCGTCCAATCCTTACACGCACCAGCATAACATGACAGAGTGAACGACGGGATATCAACCGACAGGAAGAGGTGCATCACGGGCCGGGAACATATGCTGCACGCATATTGACAAGAGGTGATAAGACCCGGATTCCGATGAGAGAAGGGATAGATGAACCGATGGAAGGGCTGTTTAAGAGATGTCACAATCGACGGGCTGGCAGGCAAGTCTTGCCCGTCGCCTTGGGGGGCACCCCCGGCAATTGGAAATTGCCTCGCCGACCCCCGTAAAGGGGGTCTCTGGGGGACCCCGCCCCCCGGCTCGAGGGCGCTCTGGAACGGAATCAGAACATGCGCTTGTGCCTTTCTGGTAAGACAACGCCTTTTTGTACATCAAAACCAAACCTACATGACATACAGATGTGGTTCGTAGACATTCAACAGCTAGGGACCCGCATCCTGGCAGCGGCGTGGAGACTAGAACGCAAATCAATACTCTTGGCCCCACGTGTTACAGTCCGACTATGAGCTCAACTGGCATGGCCAATTGCGTGCTAGGCAGATCATGTAGGCCGTCTACAAAGGCTGGTTGACTACGTTCATGTCATACATGCGTAGTCTCAGCAAGACATGAATGAATCAATGATATATATCCGCATCTGCCCTTGGCTCCTTGCTAGTAGCCCATACATCATAGAACGACGCCCAGAAAATAGATCTGAGAGCTGAGAATGGCATATGTAAAGCGGATGCACAGTACAAAATTTTCACTTCGAATACTTGCAGTAAAGAGTAGAGATGGATTTCATTAGGCATCAATTAAGATGTAATAAACTGTTCATTCATGAGAAACCTGACCACCTTCGCACACTGAACGACGGAGTCCTCCAATACGATTGTACAATGCTAACACAGGTAGGTTCGTCACCCGCGTTTTTTTGTCCTGCGAACTTGCCCTGCGCACCAGTGCGGCTTTCTCAAACAAGCGGAGGATGACGAACCTGCATGAGCGTTGATCACCAGTCCCTTCACCGCCCGAACACTGCACATTTCACCACACCGACATCAACATCAACACGTCAACACGTCAACACGTCAACACGTCAACACACAAGCTCGAAATGTCTACTTTCACTTCACACTGGCATAACAACATCATACCGAAACAGCATCACAACACAACATCGCTATGTGTTCTACACCCAAATCATGCGATTTTACGTTGCAGCAAACGGATCATCCACTGCAGAAAAGACATACAGAGTGGGAATACGGGTCGCTAACGAGGAATCCCAGCTTGGATTGAGCTGGTGATTGATTGTCTATGCTAAGGTGCTTTGCAACACGATACAGATTATGAATCTGTTGGGCAGGTCTTAGCTTCATCGAATGCTGTTGCAAATTCAAATACTAGTCTCTGACACCACGAAGAGGTGCCTGCACATTGTCAGAGGATCAGGACTGGCACCGCGGCGCCACGGGACGCCTAAAAAAGCACAAATTTGATACTGTAACGCAGGGCTCAAGGCTGCATGGAAGCTCAAGATTATACAGTCACAGGGCTCAAGGCTGTGAGGGAGAACTTGGTGTCGCAGATGTCCCTGCGGAGACTGTTGGTGTCGTAGATGTCCCTGCGGAGACTCTTGGTGTCGCAGATGTCCCTGCGGAGACTCTTGTTAACGCAGCGGTCTCCTGCGGGTCTCAATTGTCATCACAGCGTCCCCCTGCGGAGTTCACTTGGTAACGCAGCGCCCCCCTGCGAGGATTGTTGATAACGCAGAGCCCATCCTGCGAAGCACACTTGATAACGCAGAGCCCATCCTGCGAAGCACACTTGGTAACGCAGAGCCCATCCTGCGAAGCACACTTGATAACGCAGAGCCCGTCCTGCGAGGATTGTTGTTGACGCAGACCTATCCTGCGAAGCACATTTTTACACTCGCGGGGCTCAGGGCAACGAGGGAGCACACTCTTACACTCGCGGGGCTCAGGGCAGCGAGGGAGCACATTTTTACACTCGCGGGGCTCAGGGCAACGAGGGAGCACCTTTTTACACTCGCGGGGCTCAGGGCAGCGAGGGAGCACCTTTTTACACTCGCGGGGCTCAGGGCAGCGAGGGAGCACATTTTTACACTCGCGGGGCTCAGGGCAACGAGGGAGCACATTTTTACACTCGCGGGGCTCAGGGCAACGAGGGAGCACACTCTTACACTCGCGGGGCTCAGGGCAACGAGGGAGCACATTTTTACACTCGCGGGGCTCAGGGCAGCGAGGGAGCGCAAGTCTTACATCGCTGGGCTCGTGGCAGCGAAAGCCGTGGTCATGGAGACCCTCAAGCCCGTAGGCAAGACGGACACCATGACACATCGGAGTGTGAGGACTGAAGTCCTGATTCTTTTTCGGCTGGGAATTGGGCCTCTTTTATACCTTCTCGGCTACGTCTCTACCAAGGAACCACATGCGCAGATGGTAGCGAGAATTGGGTATTTGATGGGCGTTGACGTGATGTGAACGACGTCGAAAGGATGTTTCGAGACTTTGTGGCCTACAGAGTCAAGAATTGTCCTACAATCATGTCTCTCAAAATTCTGCGTTGAGTGTGGTGAACAACGTTCATCAACTGTTGAGAAGAGAGCCACACCGCAAGAATATGATTTTTACACATCGTTGAAATTGCAATTAAATCGCTCAACAGGGTAGCACCTAGTCCGGCTATGAGTCAGAGTCTTGTGGAAGATAATTGAAATCTTCTTGATCGTGCCCGTGGTGGGCTTCTTTCGTCAAGAGGTAACGTAACACCTTTGGTCCCACTGGTGGCAAATATGTCGAATTTCTACGCCTTCTTTGGTGAAACGGTTCCGCAATTGTTGGGCACAAAGGGGCACAAAGACAATGGTCCCTTGACTTGGCAAAGCTTCGCAATCAAATTTTCAACCCGCTTGAAGTATAAAGAAGAGTTGGTTTTCTGTAGAAGTTCTATTACTCCTGACAAGTTCTGTTTCCCTTCCAA